ACAAAGTTTATTTCCTCCTCAGGGCCTTTGCACTTGCTGTTTCCTCTGTCTAGAACACAATCCTCCCAAGTATTCCAATGATCTGATCTCTCAATTAATTATGGTCGCATCTCACATATCATCTTTTCAGAGAGGTCCTCTTGTAAAATTATAATCTCGGCACCTCTTGTACTACCTTTCTCCCTTACTGTTTTTATTTTTATTTTATTATTTATTTATTTTGTTAATCTTCACCCAAGGATATTTTCCCCATTGATTTCTAGATAGAGTGGAAGGGAGAGAGAGAGAGAGAGATCAATTTATTGGTTGCTTCCCCCACGACCCAGACCAGGGCCGGGGATCGAACCTGCAACCCAGGTACGTGACCTTGACTAGGAATCGAACCCTGTGACCCTCAAGTCCAAGGGCCAATGCTCTAATCGCTGATCCAAAACCAGCCAGGGCACTATTTATTTATTTTTTTAATCCTCATCGGAGGATATTTTTCCATTTTAGATAGAGTAGAAGGAAGGGAGGGAGAGAGAAAAACATCAGTGTGAAAGAGACACATCAATTGGTTTCCTCCCACATGACCCCAACCAGGGCGGGATCCAACCTGCAACCCAGATATGTGTTCTTGATTAGGAATTGAACCGTCAACCCTTTGGTCTATGGGCTGACACTCTAACCTCTGAGCCAAATCATCCAGGGTTTACATTAAATTATGCTTTTGCTTATTTGTCATGCAGGTAGCAACATTATCTTTTTTTTTTTTGTTTTTGGTACGTGCCCCTCACGGGAACCAAACCCAGGACTCTCTGGTCAGCAGGCCGACGCTTCAACCGCTGAGCCAAACCGGCCTTGGCGCAACATTATCTTATTGACTACTGTATCCTAACACAAAGTTTGGCACAAGATAGGTGTTTGATAAACATTTGTTCAATGAATGAAAGTATTCTCACCCTGGCCAGTTTGACTCAGCGGTTGGAGCGTCGGCCTGTGGACCAGAGTACCAGGTTCGGTTCCCGCTAGGGGCACGTACCAAAAGAACAAAACAAAACAAAGCAAAAAAAGAAAATATTCTCTCCTTTCCTGAACATCCTTCTGTATACTAACAACATCTAGGCATGATGGGTAATAGGTTGTGGAGTGGTGGGGTAGAAAAAGGATTTGGGCAGAAATAGAGATTAAAAAATAAAAAGAAGCCCTGGCTGGTTTTGCTCAGTGGTTAGAGCGTCGGCCTGCGGACCAGAGTCCCAGGTTTGGTTTTCTCTAGGGGCACGTACTTCGGTTGCAGTTTGTCCCCAGCCCTGGTTGGAGTTGTGTGGGTGGCAACCAGTCAATGTGTCTGTCTCACATTGATGTGTCTCTCACTTTGTTTTCCCTCTCTCCCTCCAGCTTTATCTGAAGATAAATGCAAAAATGTCCTCGGGTGAGGATAAAAAAAAAAAAAAGTGAAAAATAATAAAAAGAAAGTGAATATATTAATACTTGCAACTTAAAAAAAAATTGTAACTTAAAAATAAAATTGTAACTTAAAAACAAGTACCTGGCACTGTGCTTTTCATGCAATCATCTTATGAACTAGGTACTATCATGAGCTACTTCTTTTTTTAAAAAAACTAATCTTCTTATTGATTGATTGATTGATTGAGTTTTCTTTTTTAATCCTCACCCGAGGACATTTTTCCATATTTTGTTCAGATAGAGTGAGGGAGAGAGAGAGAGAGAAACATCGACATGAAAGGGACACATCGAGTGGCTGCCACCCACATGACCAATCAGGGCCGGGGAAAAACTGCAACTGAGGCACATGCCCCTAGCGGCAACCGAACCCGGGTCTCTCTGGACTGCAGGCTGACGCTCTAACCGATGAGCCAAACCGGCCAGGGCTGATTGATTGATTTTATTTATTGATTTTTAGAGAGAGAGGGAGAGAGAGAGAGAAACATTGATGACAGAGAACATTGATTGGCTGCCTCTTGCATGCCCCTAACTGGGGGATCGGGCCCACAACCTGGGCATGTGCCCAGACCAAGAATTGAATTGGCGACCTCTTGGTGCATGGTTCGACGCTCAACCACTGAGCAACACCGGCTGGGCATGAGCTACTTCTTTAGGACCAAAAAGGGGAAATGATTTGTCCTAAGGCTATGTAGCTGGAAAGTGTGGAGCAATGATTTATATCTGGCCTCTCTGGTTCTGGCATGTAGCTCTTAGATTTAGCACAAATTTAGAGTACACATAGTATGTTGGTGTTAAGAAAAATTATCTAATTATTTAAAATTTGGAAACAAAGCAAATGAACAACTCCATGGAACTCCAATTTGCTTTTTCATTTAACAGTATGTTTTGGCAACTCTTTCTTGTTATCACAAGTAGATCTACCTACTTTTTAAAAAAAAAATCCTCACCCAAGCCCTGGCTGGTTTGGCTCAGCGGTTGGAGCATCGGCCTGCGGTCCAGAGAGACCCGGGTTCAGTTCCCGCTAAGGGCGCTTACCTTGGTTGCAGTTTGTCCCTGGCCCAGGTTGGTCGTGCGGGTGGCAGCCACTCGATGTGTCCCTTTCACGTCGATGTTTCTGTCTCTCTCTCTCTTCCTCTCTCTCCCTCCCACTGTATCTGAACAAAAAATGAAGGAATGTCCTCAGGTGAGGATAAAAATAAATAAATACACAAAATCCTCACCCGAGCCCTGGCCGGTTTGGCTCAGCGGTTGGAGCATTGGCCTGCGGACCAGAGAGTCCTGGGTTCGGTTCCCGCTAGGGGCACATACCAAAAAAAAAATCCTCACCCGAGAATATTTTTACATTTGTCTTCAGACTGAGTGGGAGGGGGAGGAGGAGGAGGGAGGAAGGGAGTGGGGGGGAGAGAGAGAGAGAGAAACATTGATGTGAGAGAGACACATGGATTGGTTGCCAGCCACACACCTACATGGCCCCAGTTGGGGTCGGGAGGAACTGCAACCGAGGTACATGCCCTTGGCTGGAATTGAAGCCAAGACTCTTTGGTCCATAGTTCGATCCTCTAACTGCTGAGCCAAATGGCCAGGGCAGATCTACCTACTATTTATTTATTTAATTTTTTGTGGTACATGCCCCTAGCGTGAACCGAACCCAGGACTCTCTGGTCCACAGGCTGATGCTCAACCACTGAGCCAAACTGGCCAGGGCAGATCTACCTACTTTTTAAAAATTGAATACTCTATAGTTCACTTATCCACAAAGGGCATTCAAGCCAATTCAGATTTCTGTTCTTATAAATAGTTCTGACATAAACTTCCTTCCTATGCATCTTTTTTTTCTTTTCTTCTTCTTTCTCACTTTTATTTTTTTAGATGGAGTGGGCGGGAGGGAGGGAAGGAGAAAGAGAAACACTGATGTGAGAGCGACACATTGATTGGTTGCCTCTGACACAACCCCAGCTGGGGTGGGGAATAGTAACCGCCACTCTTTTTGGTCCACAGGCTGACACTCTTAACTGGTGAGCTAAACAGGCCGGGGCCTTCCTATGCATCTTTTTATGCACATGAGCAGTATTTCTTTGGGATTGAGACCCACAAGAGGAAATTCTAATCTAAATGCTTGAAATATGGCAACTTATTGTTTGGTATTTTTCTGATTATTAGAGAGGTTGAGCATGTGATTTTTAACATTTATTAGCTATACAGATTTTCTTTTATGTTTATTGTCTATTTATTTTTTCTTTTTAATTCAATTATCTTTTTAAAATGGTTTATAATTGTTCTTTTTTTTTTTTATCCTCACCCGAGGACATTTTTCCATTTTTTGTACAGATAGAGTGGGAGGGAGAGAGAGGAAGGGAGAGAGAGAGAGAAACATCGACGTGAAGGGACACATCGAGTAGCTGCCACCCGCACGACCAACCAGGGCAGGGGACAAACTGCAACCGAGGTACGTGCCCTTAGCGGGAACCGAACCCGGGTCTCTCTGTACCGCAGGCCGATGCTCTAACCGCTGAGCCAAACCGGCCAGGGCTATAATTGTTCTTTATTCTGAATATTCTTTGCTGAGTATGTCACACATATTTTATCCCGGTTTTTGGCTTGTAAAAGAACTTTGTCATTGTACATAGAGGATTTGGGAGTTTTTAGCCTCTTTTAATTTCAGTCCTTGTTTTTGGGTCCTTAGGAGGCAGAATAGTTCAGAGTAGCTCAAAGTACTGGGTCTGAAATCAGGAGTTTCTAAGTTCCAATGCCATTTCTGCTTTTTGCTAACAGTATCCAGTGGGCAAGCTGGCTGGTGGGAAAGCCCTTCCCGTTTGTGCAGAAAAGGAAAAATAATAATACCTCTCTCCTTTATTGTGAAGATTAACCTGATGGGGTGTATTAAAATAGGACCTGAATATGATAAAGAGCTCAATGATAATAAGCTAACCGTTATTAATATAATGACGATGGCATTTTGGACATTAGGAACACAACAGGCCAAAATAAATGACTTACTCAACAACAAGCTCAAAGGCCACTAGGCCTTAATCTGTAGAACTCAGGTAAGGCTCTGTCCCCTCCCCTAAGCTCCGCCCCTAAGTCCCGCCCCTAGAACTCCACACCCGCCCCCAGGCCTGGGCCCATGCTCAGGCCTCTGCAGGAAGCCCGGAGCTTGAAGAGAGGGCCTTACGCGTGACAGACGCGCGTGACGCAGGAGGGGAGGATTTGAGAGCAAGGATACTTCGGGATAGGGCGGCAGGTTCGCGCGGAAGGGGCGGGGCAAGTAAGGGGCGGGGTTTAACGGAAGCTGGTCTTTGGGCCGGGCTCCTGCGTGCGTTTGTCTGGAGGGCGGGAGCGCGCTTGGGGGCGTGCCCGGCGGGCGGGGCGGGCCCACCGGGGGGCGGGGCGGTGCGCGGCCTAACGGCGGCGGCAGAAGCGGCTGAAGCGGCTGCGCTGGTGGCGAGCTTGGCGGCTGGCTGTCGGTCCCGCGGCAGTGTCTGAGAGGGACCCCGGCCACGGGCGGAGGAGGGAGGCTCGCGACAGAGGCACTTGGCGATGGTGGGCGTCCCTGGAGCGGCCGCCTTCCAGCGTAAGTGGAACGGGAAGGCGGGCGGCTGAGGGGGGCGTGTGAGAGGCCTGCGGCTCCACGGCCGCGAGCTCCGGCGAGGCCCCCAGCGCCAGGCCGAGTGGGGAAACTGAGGCCCGAACCAGGGCGGCGGATCGAAGGTCATGAGACGTGCAGGGCCTTCCTGGGCTCCCAGGTCTGTCCCGCGCTTCCAGCGCCGTCCAGAGGGCTCGGGGCTCACGGTGCGAGCGAAAACTGTATGGACTGCGGCCTCGGAGCCCAGGCCGGGCCGACGTCCATCGGACTTCCCCACGGACAAGGATTGTTTTGTTCTCCCAGCGCTCGGGCCACTAAGTCCAGCACCTGGGGAAGTGTTACACACTCCTAATTGCGAGGGTTATGGGGCGGATGGTGGAGGAGACGAGGATGGCCTCTCTGAAGGGCCTGCTGAGTGCAGGCTCACGGGTCGGTCTGTCTGGATTCGCAAACCGGCTCCCCACTTACATTTACAGGCTGCGACCTCGGATCTCCACGAGCCTCAGTTCTTCCATCTGTAAAATAGGGGTGTGAAGATCATCTTCACTGCCCCATGCGACTCCGGTTCTTGGGTTTTGTGAAGCCAGTAGAATGCTTCGCACAGACTCTGGCACATAACACAGCGTGAAAACTGTCATTGTGAGCGCTAATAAACCTTATCTAGGGTGAACCTCGCTCAGGAAAGCCTGGAATTGGGATGTGGTTGTGTATTTAAGATTTTATTTTGTCTGCGTTTAGTCCTGCTTTATGATCCAGTTGGTTTTCTTACCTCCATTCCGGCATTTATCTAGTGTTCCTCCAGGAATTGTGAGATCCTTGGGGGAGGGGTGGGGTCTCTTAACACAATAAAAGTTTAATTGTTTCTCGTTTCAATAGCAATAACAGCCAACATTTTTTGAGCAGCTTGCCTTTTGCATTCTATTTATTTAATATTTATTAAATAATCTATTAAGTAAAAAGTACGATTCTTGGCCCTGGGAATAAAGCAACAAACTAGATAGACCAAACTCAGGCTTTGAATTTAGTTGGGGGTGGGGTGAGGTAGGGGTGGGGGAAGACATGGTAAATGAAGAAACATACATTTTGCATGTTTTCTCTCATTTAATCCTGGTGACTTATAAATAAGAGTTAAGTACTTGAAAATGCCCATTTTTCGGAGGATGAAACAGAAGAAACCCTACAATGGAATGTAGCCTCAAACCCATCTTCTTCAAACACCTAAAAAGGAGGCTTTTTACACAGCTTCTCCTTTGCTTGATACCCATTAAATGTCGGATTGAAGAAATGCAGAAGTATATGCCCCCCAGCTGATGCCTCTTCATAGTCAAGTCTGCATTTGCAGCCTTTTTTTTTTTTTGTGGTACCTGCCCCTAGCGGGAACCGAACCTGGGACTCTGGTCCGCAGGCTGACACTCAACTGCTGAGCCAAACTGGCCAGGGCTGCATTTGCATCTTTTGATAGTTGAATTCCCTTCCTCTTGGAGTTTATAACTAAAGAAAGGCCCAACAGAGGTGACCTTTAGTTCTGACAAAGGTGCACCATCTCTGTAGTGAAAGAACCCTTTATTTGAATTTACATTTTTTTGTGTCCAAATCTCCCTTATGCAGTTTTCAGGTTAAAGTATGCCCCCACGTACAATTTTTGGTTCTATTATGTAACTAATGAGGACATAATATTTATTTAAAACATTTTGGTGTTTCTAAGACAATTCTGTATTCCTAGGCAGTGTGCTTTTACACATTTTCTTTTAATCTGGAGGCATAAGTTGCATTAAAATATTGAGAGGATTTTTTTCAGTGAGGTTCTCATGATACAGTTAGATTCAGCATTGACCATCTGCTAAGCACCAGACTCTGTGCTGATGTAGGCTTACAAAAATGAATGGAAGAGTACTCTTGCCTCTAGAAGCTTACCTGTAGTCTAAGCATTTGGCTAATGTTTTTAACTGAAGTGCAGTGCAGAGAGATTGTAGGAGCTCAGAGTCTCTGGGGGAAGTAATCTAGAGCAGTGGCCTCAAATGTTTTTAGTGTTCTATCAGTAAATAGGGTTGAGTATACACACACATTATGTGAATGTTTCAAATTACCATTATAGTGATGACTGTACTCTGTATTATGTACATTTTTTTTTTTTATCCTCACCCAAGGATATGTTCTATTGATTTTTAGAGAGAGGATAAGGGAGAGAGAGAGAGAGCGAAACATCGATATGAGAGAGACATCGATTGGTTGACTTCCTTTACAGGCCCCAACCTGGTATCAAACCTGAAACCTAGGTTTATGCCTGTTGGGGAATCTAACCCGTGACCTTTCAGTGCATGGGACGATGCTCCAATCAATTGAGCCACATGGGCCAGGTCTGTATAATGTACATTTTATAGTGTGCAAAAATAGACATTTTACAAAAGGCTAAGCTAAAACAAATATGACTAGAGGGTCCAGTGTTGTCATTACATACCACAGGGCGTGAATAATAACTACCCTTGGTTGGAGACCATTGGTTTTGTAGTGAGACCTTCTCAACCCATTAGGTCTGTTGAAATTCAATTCTGGAGTTGTGCTTAGGTTGAAATGTTGGGGTCTAGTACTTATTCTGTGCATTTTATTTTTCTCATCAATAAAATTGAGATGATGAGACTTCCTTACCTCATTTGCAGTTTTATTGTGATGATTGATAGTATGTATATGTTAATATAATATATATGGTAATACATGTAAAGTACTTACACTATTTGACACATTCTGTTTTGGGACCTGTGAGTGGCTGAGGATACAAAGATGCCTTAAGATCTCACAGCCTGCCCAGGCCAGTTTGGCTCAGCTGTTAGAGCCTTGGCCCGTGGACCAGAGAGTCCTGGGTTCGGTTCCCTCTGAGGGCAGTACCTCAGTTGCAGTTTGTCCCCAGCCATGGTTGGGGTCGGGTGGGTGGCAATCACTCGATATGCATCTCTCACATCAATGTTTCTCTCTCTTTTCCTCAGTCTCTCCCTCCCGCACTATCTGAAGATAAATACAAAAAATGTCCTTGGGTGAGGATAAAAAAAAAAGATCTCACAGTCTAGCCCTGGTCACATAGTTCAGTTAGTTAGAGGTTGTTCCTATTGAACCAAGGTTGCGGGTTCTATCCCCAATTAGGGGACATGCAAGAATCAACCAATGAATGCGTAAGTGGAACAACAAATTGATGTTTCTCTCTCTCTCTGTCTCTCATATCAATAAAAAAAGATATATATATATCTCTCTCTCTCAAAAAGATCTCACAGTCTAGTGGGGATCCTGCACATGGATAATAAGTGCTTGAAACAAAGGCTTTTGGGAATGCAGAGGAGGCATAAACTAATGGTTCCTTGAAGAGTCCAAGTAAGGTTCAGGTAAGATGACATTTGAACAATCCTTAGGAAGTAGAGGAGATTTTTCCAGGAGGAGGAAGGGTCGATCTTATTAGCTGAGGATACAGTGGAAATCTGGTGGCTTTTGGGGACTTGGTGAGTAGTTCTCCAGATCTGGATCAGCAGGGAACCTAACTGAAGCTTCTATAGTTTGTTAATAGGATAACAGTGAGTTCTGGCTGGAGTTGTGCCTGGCAGGGGCCAGATGGCTAGAAAGCCCGTTCCAGAACTTTTCACAGTACCACAGCTCTTTTCTCTCTGGTGGCACTTACCTCATTCTACCTTCTTGGTTATTTTAGAATATAACCCCCCTAAATATAAGCTTATTGAGGGTTCTGATAAGTAGTATCTGCGTTTTTTTTTTTAATCCTCACCCGAGGACATTTTTCCATTTTTTGTTCAGATAGAGCGGGAGGGAGAGAGGAACAGAGAGAGAGAGAAACATCGATGTGAAGGGACACATCGAGTGGCTGCCACCCGCACGACCAACCAGGGCCGGGGACAAACTGCAACCGAGGTACATGCCCTTAGCGGGAACCGAACCCGGGTCTCTCTGTACCGCAGGCCAATGCTCTAACCGCTGAGCCAAACCGGCCAGGGCAGTAGTATCTGCATTTTGTTTTATTGTGCCATGCAAGGTAAGTAGAAAGTTCATAAGCACAGGGAAAGGCCTATAAATCATGGGACCTTCAAAGAATTCTGAACAATTACAAGTGGAATGGTAAATGACAATACTTACTAGTGAAAAACATGCTTACAAATATTTTATGGTAGATGGGCTCAGTGCATTACTATTTAAAAGGGGCGAGAAATGTCATGTTCAGTAACTCTTCCCTTATCTGGCACTTACCCATTAAGGTAAAGGGATGAGAAAGTGCACCAGAAAGACTTCGAGGTTGAATTAGGTGCCTTCCATTTGCTCCTCTAGATCCACTCTCCATCCTTTCCCACCCTGTTATTTGCCCTGGGATGCTGACTTACCTACACAGACTACTACATTATTGGGCTTCCTTCCCCTCTTAGGTTGTTGAATTAATTAACCTCCCTTTTTATGGGTATTGTCTCTGGCTGGCTATGTCTCTTTGGTGAAGATTGCTATTCCTCTAAAGGTGGTTCTTTCTACATGACTCACTCCTTCTAGGTTTGGAAAGTTCCATTTCCTTTGTTCTTTGGGCCTAGAGGTGCTCTCACTTGTACCAGGGTACTAGAACTATTCCTTGTGGTTATCTTATACCCTGCCTGTCTACACCTTTTTTTTTTTTTCTTTATTGATTTTTAGAGAGAGAGGTAGGGAGAGGGAGAGAGAGATAGAAACATCAATGAGAGAGAACATTGATTGGCTGCCTTCTGCATGCTCCCCACTGGGGACTAGACCCACAACCTGGGCATGTGCCCTGACTGGGAATCAAACCAGCGACTTCTTTTTTTTTTTAATCCTCACCAGAGGATATTTTTCTATTTATCTTCAGATAAAGTGGGAGGGAGGGAGGGAGGGAGGGAGGGAGAGAGACAGAGACAGGGACAGGGACAGAGACAGAGACATTGACGTGAGAGAGAGAGACATCGACAGGTTGCCTCCTGCTGCACGACCCTGACCAG